AAAGACTGGCAAGAGTATTGCTTGCCTGTGGGTATAGTAACTGCTTCTTGAGATCCACATATTATTGGGCCTGTCTTATCATTAAATGTTTAAGTAGCACTTGCTGGTGCAAGTTATACAGAGCGTTTGCAGCAATTCCATGTCTCATAGTCATAAAGAAGTAAAGGCTTGCGCTGTGGGCCTTTAACTTGTTTTTTAAAAATCAATAAACAAATATTGATTAACACTTCAGCTGTCTCCTCCAAGACATTTTGACCTTTTTGATTTCATTTTCTTTGTGTATTGTTGTGTTACTGAGCAATGTGCTGTGTAAGTTGCAAAATCTGTGACAGCTTTTAGTCCTTTTTGTGGAGAGAGGTCTATGAGGATGGTTTATAGTCTTACTGCTTAGAAAAGCCGTGGTCTCTAAGGTGTACTGGTCAAGAGCTTGGGCTCTGGAATCAGGTGGCCTGGTCCTCAGTAAGACTCTGATATGTACTCATCGTGTGATTAGGAGCAAATTACTTAACATATAAACTCACTTTCCCCATTTGCACAATGGAGATTAATGTTAGTACCTGCCTGGTTGGTGGTGGTTGTGAAAAAGATTAAATAACGTTGAAATGAGCCATGCACTGTGTGGGCACCTACTAAGTACTGCTAACAATCATTATGTTCTTTGTGGTTTAGTGGTCCCAGTTTTCTCTGGATCTCCTTGTATGTTCACTCCTAGAACACAGGGAATTGTACAGAAGCTCCTGGTAGGCTCTGTAGAAACTTTAACTTAGATTGCCTTAAAGTCTTTGGAATTTAATTATTTCAAAGAGGAATTTCTTTCTTCACAGAAGCTATAGAGAAAGCAAACTTTAGTTTCTTGTCTGCTTTCCAGGCCTTTACTTTATTCTGTTCTTAAATATAGCTGCTGCAACAAGTAGATTGACACAGTGCAGCCCGGCCATGGGCCATTTCATGTCATTTCATGGCATGGGGAACACACAGGAGTCTCCTCAGACTGCCTTGTAACTTGTCTCAGATATAATCCAGGTCTTTCATTGATTATCTGGATGTGTGCATTCTAGGAACTGTTGGAGGAGATAGATGTCCCAGCAAATACTTTTGGAATTTCCCCTCAGTCTTGGACTCCCATGAAAGTTACAAAGGGGTGGTAAATCTACAGTTTAATTGCCTGGAGTCCATTAATGCCCTACTGATTTTCTTTGGGTGCTGGTCAGGTAAGTTAGTATACATGTTTATAGCCAATTTAAATGCCCCAAGAAGATCGCTGACCAATGGCCATCCTTATTTTTTAAAGTCACCAGATAAGGCAATTTCTCAAACAACTTCAGCAGGGCATTCCAGAAATGCTTGATCTCATACTTCTCTGTACTGTGATAGATAAATACAATTTTGATTTCATCTTGGAGTAGTTAATTTGAATTTCTGGGATGTAAAGTAGAAAAATGTTCTATAGCTCTTTAAACATTAGATTGGAAAGAAAATGCCTTAAACATTCTGTTTAATTAAATTCTAAAGAGGTGGTACAAATTTTTCATGATTAATTGAAATATGCATATTTTGACTGATACGTATTTATATGATATTATCGTATGAAAATTTTATTATGTTATACAAAGCGTTCTCTGTGGGAATGTGATTTAATGCTGTAAACATTTTACATTTGTCAGTGCATTGTTTATTATAAAAATGCACAGGCTAATGGCTGTAAGATAATGTAATGTAAAAATCTGTTACGTGAATCTTCTCTGAGGTAATCTCAAGTCTCTAATGGCACAGACCGTTAGCCAAAATGTAAGATAGGTAATTAGGTTTTCCCTAGCTTGAAGAAATATTTTTTTAAATAGAAAAAAATTTAAAGCAGATCAAGTTAGAAAAGTTAAAGTGCTGAAACCTCCTATTTTGCCATTGTAAAGCCTGCATTTCATTTCCATGTTTCAGGTAGAAAGAGATGCAGATGTTGAAGTGGACTGATCCCTTTGGCTTTAACCACTTAAGAAGTGTTCACTTTTCTAGGGGTGCAGTCATAAGATAGGGACACCATCTCATGTCTGGTGACAGAATTTTGAACTATAGTTTGACTGACAATATTAATTTAGATAATCACAGTTCTTTATTAGTTTTTAAAATGTATTACTGATATAAATGACTTTTATTAATCTAGAATGCCTGAAATATCGGAAAATGTTTTTTAAATTTTTTGAATAACCCAATTATCAGACTGTTCTTTGGATCATTAGCTGCTGATAACAGTTTAATACTAGAAAAGGAGAAATCTGATGGGCTTTTTCCAAAGCATATACCTTTATGAAATAGAGTTGCGTGAAAAACTGCTGGGAACGTCGACTTATTTAACAAGGCAGATGCTAACCATCATTCTAGAAGTCTTTCCAGCTGCCAGATATAAAAGTGCACAATTTATATGGTCTCATCTCATATTGTTGCTTTGTAGTAAGAATGATTTGTAAGAAATAATCTGTTTTAAAATTCTACCTTTTTGTTCGTTTATTTGTTAGGTCCATTGTAAGAAAGTATTCTTGCCTCCCTTTAAAAAATGACAAGTGGGTCTGTCTGGTGATGATGGATTGAAGCTTGAGAAAGACCCCGGAGCTGCCCTTTGGCCTCAAGCATCATTCCTCCAGGCCAGGCCCAAGCTGCACGCTAAGCGCCTGGCCTTGTGAATAACTTTGCACTCTATTCTTTCTTATGTCAGTGTTGGTCCATTATAGCTGAAGATCTAGGACTTAAACAATTTTATGCTTTGTTTCCCAAATTAGATTATTTAAAGGAAGAAATAATGAGGGGGATCTAATGCATGTTCTAAAATGGCTCCTTGGGAAGTGGGGTCTCCTCTTTAAACTGTGAGGCCAGGTGATTTCCCGCATAAATTTTTTTCCTTACAGATTTCACCAGAATCAAGCTTACTGCCAGTGGATCATTTATGAGAATTCTGCTGTATCTTCTTTTTCAGGAATTTAAGATTTTAAAGCATCTTATCAATTGGGAAAAATAGAAACTATGAGTTGCTATCTAGTTTAGTAAAGACAGGTGATTATTTTAAAATATATGCTCTTTCTAATCTAAGAAAACTCCTCTACACACTAAGGTAAATTATAAAGCTTTGCTAATTTTTCATACCATGTAAAATGTTCATATGTAGAGAGATGCCATATTAGAGATCATGTAAAATATAAATAAAAGCTTACTTTTATTTATTTTTAAATTTTTTTTGTTAAGGATATTCCTGAAATATCAAAAAGCTTGCTTTGAACAGAGCAAATTATTAAATACAGTAATTGTTTGACATTTGAATTTGTATTATGCCATTTAAAGAAAGTTATCAAAAATGTTTGACATCAAAGGTCATTTTTTATACTATCTCATTTGATAACAATAGATCACAATATGTAATTTGTGAAATACAAAAAGGTCATTAGAATGGCAATATTTATTCCATTGAGGTAAATAAAACGCTGCACATAGTTCTGAGTGCTGATGCTCAGGGGGAAAAAAAGCCATATCACTGCACTACAAATTAGTTTGCTTCTAATTTTGCAGGCTGATGACCACACTGCCTCAAACCAAATCTTTTCCCTGGAAATGAAATGATTGCATGACAGACTGTATGAACCCTGAATATGTCAACACTCGTGGACCAGGCCTTGCTTAGCAATTAGTCTTTGGGGGATTCTATCCAGAAATCAGACAACACTATACTAGTGCTTGTTGGGGATTTTGTGATTACCATTCATGTCTGGAGCATGAGTGTGGGATAATAATAATAATAAAAATTCCATAAAGGAAGAAGAGATGTGGCAGTCAGTCTCACACACACACACACACACACACACACACACACACTCACTGTCAATTGGGAGGACAGAGAAAACTCAAGATGTAGCAAAAGCTGTTAAGAGGCAACAAGGAAATATTACTTAGGTGTCTACTTAAAGTCCTTTTATTCACCCCTACCCACCCCTCAGAGAGGCCAGTTTTTCCCAGACCTGAATATCACCATCATAATTTTTGTCATAACTTCTGACTACCCGCACTATGATTTACTGAATATATTTTACTAATTGACTCACTTTAAAATCCTTTCTTTGTTTTAAGGAGTAGTATTTGTGATATCATGGGCTCATTATGCTAGTTAAATTTGTTTTCTTCTCATACAAAGGAAAAGAAATACAATTTAAATAGTGGAAATGTTTGCAAACCGCCTAAATTCATTCTGAACAACCCCATGACATGACATGAGGGGCTGGGAGGACCACCAATCTGGCTGAGAATGATCTGACATTTCCATTACCATCCCTCCATCCAGGGCCCATGAACCACATCACATGGAGGAGAATTTCAATCAGGCCTGCATCTCCCTTAGGACACCAGCGCCGGAAGGCTGCATTGTCAGAGTCTGTTCAGCGAGCCAGGCTTGTCCCTTTCCATTGCCAGAATCTGGCCGCGCACATCTTTCCTTTTTTGACTAAGAGCATTGCTTGGGAATTATTACATTGCAAGAGTAAACAATAGCACATATCGTTTAACAGTAATAGGGAACATGCCATGGTTGAGCCTGGCGCCTGGTCAAGGTTCACATAAGGGTGTTCCATTTGTAAGTTAGCACCCTACAAATTGTCCCACCCAGTGCAGATCCTGCAGGCTTTCACAGGACCTTTGAAGAAACAGGTTATTTTACAAGCTTCATTAGTACTGGGGCTGGTTTAACTAGGCAGATGAAGCCTTTTTTTTTTTTTTTTTTTTTAACCAGGCTAGGAAGCCCTAGGAGCCCTTGTGGCTCTGCCGTCATGCTCTGGTTTTTAAGTAAATGTCTTTTGGAAACTTAGGGGCCAAAAAAAGAGAAAGAGAGAGAGAAAGAAAAAGCACTTCTCCTCCAAGGTCCAGAAACTAAAATCAGGCCTGGGTAGCTCTGTCAGGTTCAGGGTGTGTCTAAATTTGAAGGGATGTTTGCTTCTGATATGAACATTTTTCTTATACTTTTATTATAGAAGATGATGTGTCAAATGTACAAATAATGTGTGCCTGGTGCCAGAAAGTGGGAATCAAGCGCTATTCCCTGAGTATGGGAAGTGAGGTGAAAAGCTTCTGCAGCGAGAAGTGCTTTGCGGCCTGCCGACGAGCCTACTTCAAGAGAAATAAGGTAAGAGCACCGGAGAGAGAGGCGGCCCCCCCACAGGCCTCACCAGCCCACACGCGCATGTGCCACGTAGCTTCTAGCGGAAAACACTGTGCACCTTTTACTTTTATATTTTTATTCTTTCTGTTTTGTTGATTCCCCTTTTGTGTCATGCTTAACCTTTTGGAATAAGGAATCCCCTTCTAATGTGTTTCTCTTGGCTTAGTGTTTGTGTTCTGAGAGGGTGAATGAATCTGATGAGGACACTGTGATCACAGCTGGTATCCTCATGGCCAGTGTCTTTCCAGCAGTAGAGTGCAGACTGCGCTCTGAGTCCATGAAAGATAAGTGGTAGATATTCCTTATAAAAGCCAAGTAATTAGCCACAAAAGCATGGCCAGAAAGTTTTAGCCCACTTAGTTTAATTCTTGTACCCAGTGGAAATATTGCTATTGCTCTTTTCAAAATCTGGCCCACGAGTTCTTGTCAAGAAAAATGTTAAGTCTCTCTTGACATCTTACGTTAAAACTGATTGATACTGAGAAAAAATGAAATCATGAATACATGAAACAACATTGCTCACATAGCCAGGCATTTGCGAGAAGCATGGTGGGTAAACACAGGAACAGCCATCATTAGAATTTTTTTTTGTTTTATTTTAAAGACATCCCAGGTCTGAAAATGTCCTTTTTGACTAGTGTTAGCCACCATGGATGGGAAATGGAATGCATGATATTTTTACGATCACACACACATGCACACAACTATTTTCTGAATCCTTAAAGAACTGCTGTAGCCTTTGCCACCAACTACTGAGGTAACTTGCTAGTCCTCAATTATTTTCCATTGATATGTAAAGCTTCCTTAATTCATAAAATCTTTACTAAAATTGTCCACATTTTGTTGTTTCCATTTCTATAATACAAGATCCAAATCTGTTCTTTCTTGAAGCAAACAATTATTATTTTTCTAAAAGTGTGATATTTGCAATCCCGAAATGCTAATTATGGGCTCACTGCATTGCAAGAAGCACTGTTGCAGCAAATTATCTCCTGCAAATTTGGGTCACATTCATTCTGCCAAAAAACATAATGCCGAAAGAATTAGGCTGCAGAATTCAGCGGGGTGGAATTTTAGTAGCAGTCTCTAAGAGTTAGGCTCATAATCTTCACTGGAACAGAGAGGCAAGTAAGGAAATTGTTTGGAATTCTTCTGGGACTGTCAGCAGTCAAGTTCACTTTCCCCTGGGAGGAGCCAGTGAATCTGGGGAGGAGGGTGGGAAGAAAATGGGAGACACGTTTTGTTTTAATATAGGGGGATTAAAATGATCTCCGAGACCCTGGGGCTCCCGTTTTGAATGCTGAGCACTGGAGTAACAACCCCAGGAGTGGGCCCAGTGCTTTCTTCTTCAAAGCCCTACTTACCACAACAAAATACTTTGCATTCCATCGCAGAAGATGGCTATAGAACAGGGCTTTTTGTCTTTCCATAATTCTGAAGGTTATGGGTCTGAATCTTGATGGGCTGCCTGTAGGGACTAAAATCAAGCAAGATGGATTTGTCACAATCCTGGTGATACATGTTATATTTTGCAAACTGTATTTTATAGTGAGCCTTTGAAGAAAGGCACCTGATTCCATTTGGAAAAACACTCCAGAATACCATATCTATATCTATATTGTTTACATCATTATAAAGTTTAAGGTCAAACTGAATTTAAGCTTTCATAGTGTACATTTTTGGAAAATGGATAACTGGGAGCCAGAATAGGAGTTAGCATTTGGAATACTTACAGCAGGTAAAGTCAGCAGTGGGAGGAAGCCCATCACATTTCACTTTCTACCAGGAGTTACTGGGGTATGTCTTTGAACATCTTGCTAAACCTGGAAGTTGCAGTGGTTTGGTGTTTAGCCAGTGACTTTGCCAGCTGATCTCAGTTGTCTATTAGTGTACAAACAATTCCTGCCTTCTCTGTAGTCTTCATCCTTCCTTATATGTCCCAAAGCTCTGACATGCTATGCCTTCTTGTGTGTTTTTTTTCCCCCAAATAGAGAAATAAACTAGTCATATCACTTGCTGGCTTTTTTTTTTTTTTTAATTTTAAAGAGTGTTATCTCTGTTACAATATTATATTGTATTACAGTAAACATGTACAGCTGCTGCATTTCTGTTAACTGATAGGATTTTGTGGTCATTTTATTTAGGGCTTGGGTTTCCTAATGGATTGTATTAGATACCAGTCTCCATCCTGCCATTTCTAAGAACTGCTTGTAATAAGCCCCTGGGTGTTACATACTGAAGACAATAGCAAATAGCTACTTCTCTTCTTGTATCATTTAACAAAGTCCTTAGTCCTTGTTAATTAATTATGGACTTTCTTAATCTTAGAAAAAGGGCAAAATTCTTCCCATTCCTACATAACAGATTTTTTTTATGGCTAAATTCTACCTTTTTTAAGTATTGAGAAGTGGATAGGAAACAGAGTGAATAATGTGTGTGTGCAGAACAGAATTTTGCCCTAGGTATAGTGTAGACTTAAAAAAAACATAAAATTAACTGTGCTGTAAATTATGCTTTATAATGACAGCCCGCTTCTTGCTGGATAGCATGCTGGGATCTAAAAATGATCTCCAAGTTGAACCCAAATTGCATGCATAACTTTACAAAGAAAAATCCTAGTAGAAAAGGTAGCTAATTAGGAGCAGTATTCAGCTGACCTCTGTTTTGTGTCTGAGCAACACCTGCATTTGTGAATGTAAATTGGACAGCTGTGCTTGTGGTCTCTGTGCATTTCTCTTCACACACGCTTGGGTGTAGAGTCAGGAATTGATTTGCTGCTAAAAACAAGGACAAAAATAACCCAACTCTCAAAATGATGGCCCACTGAAAATGGGCTCTTTAAATTTCATTTGCCTGTCAATTCTTCATTTCTCTTTGGGTTTTTCTGTCTGTTTAATGGGGTGGGTTGAAAGTGTCACATACATCTCTCACAGATTGTCAGTATGCAATAAGGTGGGATGGATTGAAGCCAGGTTAACCTATATAGTATATAGGTTATATTTTTAACTGAATTTAAATTTTTATTTGAAGAGTTGTCTGGATTGCTACAAATATTAGGCTTTCTTCAAAATACTTCTGCTCAACACTGCCAGGAGAGGACCATGAATCACAGCTGTATTCACTTAAGGACTCTAACTACTAGTTTACACATTTCAGAATGTTGGCTTAAGAAATAGATAGTGTTAATTCATAATATATTTTGTAGGATCCTTATCCCCGAAGGCTTATTTGCTGGCTTAAAATTTTTGAAACAGTAGGTAAGAAAAATACTTGTGTAGTCTGTGGGCAATGTATGACAATGGGATGTAAATCTCATTATTTCATGTGTTAGAGACTTTTCAGGGAACTAATAGCTCACTCTTTTCCCAGCCTGTTTTTGGACCTGAGAGCATTTCTGTCCTTATGATTCACCTAGGAACTGGAAAGTTGCAGAGACTCCTTAGTGATTTTGCACTCTTGTAGAAACATTTAGTTCAACTTGCTAACACCAGTTTTACTTTACATAGTAATACACACTTAAA